GGAGCTGCGCATGCGCAGCTGCAGGCCCACGGGGGCGGAGATGAGCCGGGTGTCCCAGTGCTCCCAGTGACCCCCCCGGTGCTCCCGGACACTCCTGTACCCCCGACACCCCAGTGCTTCCCGTGCCCTCAGTACCCTCAATGCACCAGTTCTCCCAGTTCCACCAGCCCGGTGTGTTAGTATCCCTCCAGTGCTCCCAAAACCCCTGTCCCCACCCCACTCCAGTGCTCCCAACATCTCCACTACTCCCCCAGTGCTCCCAGAGCCTTTCAAGGTACTGCCAGTGCCTCCAGTGCTCTCAGTGCCTTTGCAGCCCCCAGTATGCCCAGTACCCCAATATCCCTTTGCTCCTCCAGTGCTCCCAGTTCCCCTCACAGTGACCCCAGCAGCTCAGCACACCAGGGCCACTGGTGCGGCAACCCTGTCCCCACCACCTCTGCCACCCCAGCACAGCACTGGGAGCAGCTCAGATCAGCCAGGGTGGGGGGCACCCCCGCACCCCAGAGCAGAGACCACGCAGCGAGGCCTCCCGTGGATGAATCTGCCTTTATTGAGAAAAATGGTTTGCTACAAATACGTCATCGATTTTGTTTTTTTCTCTCAAAAAAAACCAGTACGTTTGGTTAAAAGTTCCAGTTATGCAAAAAGTGGCGGGTAACACACTGACGAGCGCAGCCGGAGCCAGCAGCGGGCAGAGCCGGACCCGACCCCGTGCAGCGCCTGGGCCTTAAAGTGCTTTACAAAAGCAGCCGATGCCGCCCCTGCTCTGGCGTTGCAGGGCAAAAAAGAGGATGAGGAGGAAGGAGATATAATAGTGCTGTCCCAAAGAGCTCTGATGGGGGCTGCTCTGGGACCTGAGGGTCTCAGCTGAAGACAGGACACGGAAATCTCCCCAGGTCCCTTTTGGGAGATGCCAGCGCTCTCCATCCCACCAGGGACGGTGCCCACACCGGGCAGGTACCAGCAATGCCATGCTGGTAAGAGAAGACCCCATCCCTTGCTGGCCTGGCACAAGGGAAGGGAGAGGAGGGTCTCTGTCCACTCCTCGTAGGGCTGCCAGTGGCACAGGGGAGCTCACAGCCCCCTAAAACCACCCCGTGCTATTGAATATAATAAAAACAAGACGGTATTGCTAGAGCAGAGCTGGAGTCAGGGCTCGGGTATGTCATGAAAGGGCACTTCTCCGAGCAGGGACACGCGGAGCTTTCCCACCTCCCTCCTCTGCAAACCGCCTCGCGTGGAGACACAGCTTTACAGGTCACCAGGAGCATTTCTCAGATCAACATCTGCCCAGATGTGCCCAATTCCCATGGAGAAAAAGATCCAACCCCGTATTTCGGGGGGACAAGATGCTCAGCGGTGGGGTCCTGCACGGGCAGACGTCCCTCCTGCGCATCCATCGTGCCAAAATAACCCGCCTGCTCCCTCGCTGCACGCTCGCAGGCAGAAAACCACTCCTGGGGATCACATCCTGCTTATGGCCACGTCCAGCACCGCCACGAAGGGCTTTAAGCAAGGGGTTTTAAGCCACCCTTGATGGGATTAAGCTCAACCGCTGTCCTGGAGAAGGGTCAGCAGCTCAGAGAGCATGGGGGGCTCTCGGAGAGCACAAGCGGGGCTGCTGCTCCCAAAAAAGGCGGCTGACGAGGTGCTGCTCGGATTCGGCCTCTCCTCCATCATCACCAACCTGCAGAGAAACACCCCGAGAAGGGAAGGGAACGGCTCAGAAATCACCGAAGGGGACACACGCGCACCGGATTTCAAATCCACAGCATGTTCGTTTGTTTTTGGGTAGGGGCAGGGGGGTTTCTTTGTAAAAAATAGACTTTCTTAATAATGTTCCATAAAAATACTCTTGTCCCCGGTGACGGATATTGCAGCGTGAAGAGTAACAGCTTCCGTTCCCGCTCTATAAAACGTGGAAAAGGCCTCGCGCCGATTAATGTAGAAAAATGCAAGAACTCAGTATCACAAGAGCCGGTAGAAAAACGAGGAAGGGTGAGAGTTTCCCTGGATGCCGGGTGTTGTCCCCGTGGACTCCTCCGAATCCGCTGCCATCACGGGGCGCAGGAGGGCAACTGATGAAGGAGGCAGCTCCTGTCTGCAGCACGGGGCGCAGGACAGATGGCCATCTCTGGAAACAGCCTCGTGGAGTTTAAAAAAAAGACGCTCTGTGCCGTTTTCTTCCTATTCCAGACGGAGGTGGATGAGCACAGCGTTCAAAACCAGGGCACTTCCGCATAAAACGCAGCGCAGTTTTACGTACCTATTCAGTTGCAACAGAGACCGTGAAGACAAATGGTGCCAAAAAGCATCTAATAATAAATAGATCTGGATACAGGTATATACTCCGTATACGGATATGAAATGCTTAACCGAGGAACGGTCCCAGGCTTTCGGCGCCGGCTCCTCTCTCCTCCCGGCAGCGGACATCTCTGCTCGCTCCACCTTCTTCAACAAGGTGGGATTTGCTCCGAGAGGAGAGGGCAGAGAGGCAGCAGCAGCAGCGAGTTTCTGAGGGGTTGATGAGCTCCACGCCTCCCCAGCAGGAAGGCCGAGTGTGCAAAAGGAGATGGGGGTGCAATGGGGGGGTCCAAACCGATGCTCCGCGGTCACCCTCAGTTCTCGGAGAGCGACAACGCCAGGGCAGCCTGCAACGCTGCCTCCTCGTCGATGTTGTAGTCCTAGAAATGGAGAGAGGCGGTCAGGAGGGCTGGCACGGGTGGGTTGTGGTTTCACCCCCACACAGGAGGGGTCAGGAACCCCCTCACGGACACCAGCCACGTGCAGCAGCCGGACCCCCCACACCCCAAGGCAGGGCTGCTCCCCTCCCACGCCTGCTGAAACCACAAAGAAAAGGGTTTTTGTGTTACAGTTCCTCAGGGGAAGAGTTTAATGGAGCATGCGGAGCAAACAACCCGTCTGCAACATCTCCCCCTCCTCCTCCTTCAGAGATGTTTTCCTGCCGTGTCTGATGACAACCAAACCGAGCACCCCCTGGGGCAGCCCCACACCTACGGGGGGCTCCATATGTGCCATGTGCCTCCTGTAAAGCCCAGATCCGTCCCCTCTTGAGAGGCTGCACAGCGGGATGGGCTGGTCCTGGCTGGTTACATCCCACACGGACATGGGGAAGATGACCCCCGTTTCGGCTCGGAGCCGTACTCACCACAAAGGTGTCGTAGGAGAACTTGTGCCTGTGGAGGAGGTGCTGGAGGAAGTTTGCGCTCTTGTAGCTGGGATCCCCCCAGGGCATGGCTGAGCAGACTGGGCACACCTGGGAGGAAGGGGAACCATGACTCATGGAGTAGTAACTGGGGGGAACTGCTGCAGCCACAACATGAGGGAGAGGGGAGCAGCGGTCCCCCGCTCTCTCACAGAGGATTTCCTGCAGAATTTGTGCTAAACAGAGGGTTCCCCCACCCTGCTGAGCAGATCTCTCGGTGCACAGAGCCTCTGGCACATGGCCTGGGCTGTTTTTAGCCCACTGACACGTTACACGCACATGTGAGCACCTCTGAGACGGTGCCCGAGCTGAGCTCCCCACCTTCGGTCAATCCAGCAGGGATGGGGAGGGGAAATCCTGCACCACCCAGGTTGTAGGTGCAGGGGGATGGAGGAAGCTCACTCCAGAGAGCCCCTAACAAAGCAAACAGAGGGAGGCCCCCACCTCCCATCAAAGGGATTTAAAACAAACTGGAAATACAGCTGTGCTTCATGTGCAGCAGCAGCTTTGCACGTCGGTGACCTTGGATGCAGCATCAACCACGGTGTATTTGGATTCCCAGGGGTTACCCCACACAAAACCAGCCCGCCCTGGTGTTGCTCACCACTTTGTTGGGGTCGTTGCGGTGGTTCTCCATGCAGTGCTTCACCAGCTCCTGCTGGTCCAGGTTGCGGGCCCCGCAGTACGGGCACACGAACGTTGAGCGGTTGGGGATATTGCTACAGAGAGCGAGGATGAGCTCAGATCACCCAAAAAAGGGATTGGATTAATTCCTTCCAGCCACCCCTGCTCGGCTTCGTGCTACCCTCCATGATGGAAACCAGCCCAGCCCATTCCCACCGTGGTTTGGTCCCTCCTTCCTCCCGCACCATGCTCCGAAACACCCAGATTTGAAGAGGGGAACATCAGTGCAAGGAGGAACACATTTCCCTACCCAAAACACGACGGTACCTGGGGATAGGCTGGGACGTGGGGACAACCGGAACAAATTTGGGGCAGTTGGCCATCTGCTCCTGCACCTTCGCGCAGGACGAGACGTGGGAGCGCATTTTGGCGAGGGTCACCTGCAGAACAAGGAGCAGTTTTGGTCAACTGACGCCAGAGCAAACATTGGCCCGCGCAGGGTGACCCACGTCAGCGTGGAGATGCCACACCAGCCCGCCCTTCCTCACAGGACAGATCTGAGGCTGCATGCTCGCTGCAGGTGTCCCCAGAGGTCACGCAGAAGCCACTCAGGCTGCACTGCTGCAGCGCTCGCTCCGTTTTCCGTTATGAAAGAGGAACTGCTGGCAGGCGGAAACCCCAAATGGCTCCGACACCGTACAGGATCTTTCCTGGGAGTCATAAGATCCCCAAAATTAACGGAAGTCAGAAAGAGACACACCGCAGCTTTACAGCCAGTCCCTGGCGTGTCTGTCCCAGGCCCTGCTGCTGCCTCAGCTCCCCCACGGCCGTTGGGATTGCGGCGCCTTAAGCAAGAGCTTAAATCCTCGCCCTCGTTAGGAGCGGCGGGTTTGTCTCAGCTGAGGAGAGCCTCAGCCTGCTTTTGAAAGTCCCTGCTGTCTAATAATAGCTCTGCTCTGCTGACAAAGGCAGCGAGGAGCGAGCGCCTTCACCTCCACGCAGCCCCATTCATGGCAGCGGCCACGACGCGCCGAGGGGACGCAGGCACAGTTTGGGGACTCTGCAATCCCAAGCAGCCTCTCCCACCCCCAGTACCACAGCCAAATGAAGCCTATGGGGGACAGGGCCAAGCAGCCTCCCCCGTGCCAGTTTTACCTTCTTGCTGCAGCCTCTGCAGGGAGCTTTGTAGGACGAAAGCTGTTTCTCCACACTGGAAGCCTTCTCCACCTTCTTGGGGTCGAAAGGCATGCGGCACAGCGGGCAGAGCGGGGACGGCACTTGGAGGCAGGGCTGCAGGCACTCCCCGCAAAACCTGGGGCACAGAGAGCGGCGCTGAGCAGCCCCAAAGGGGGAAAAAAGGGGAGCAAGACCCCAGCCCCAAACCCCAGGGATGGGCATCCCCACTGGGAGAAACTGGGAGCTTATCAGAGGATGCGGGGAGGCTGGGCACAGTCCAAGCCCCAGAGGAGCTCCCTGGGGCACAGACAACACGTCCAGGAGCAGATTTGAATGAAGCCAAACAAAAGTCAGCACCAAGCACCCAGGCCATCCAGGAATAACACGAGTGGGTGCATCAGAGCCCAGCTCAGCTCCTTTCAGGGACCTTATGCTGGTGGGAGCGTGGAAGCAGTGGAAGGGGAGGAGCAGGAGACACCCAGGCTCGATCCCCACAGAGTCACTGTCACAGTGTCCCACCAGCTAATGTCATCCAGAAATGCTGCTAAGCCCCTGCACGGGGAAGGGACAAAGTCACGGTGCCCCTTGCCCCAGCTCCCTGGTATCACCCCCATTAAATGTCCCCAGCCTCAAAAAGCTGGAGCAGGGGGGGGGAAAGTGAGACCACACTGAGGCATGGAGCAAAGCCACAGCTTCAATGGGAGAACAAGGTGTCCCAAAAACAGGCTGCAGAAGGAGGACAAGGAGATGTGACCGAATTGCTGGGGTGACAAGAGGTCCCTGGATGGCCTCTTCCTGGGGACCGGGCACAGCACCCACGGGTGGCCCAGATTGGGGTGCTGGGAGCAGAATCTGGGGGAGCTCCTGGGGGCACAGACCAGGTCTGGGCACAGAGGGAGATGGGGTGGTCAGCGGGGGAAGGACCCTTGGGTGCACCCACAGCGGGTCCAGGCTGGGGGACACGGCAGCACCCAGCTCCCCAGGTGAGGAAGAGGCTCGGGATGGGGATCCCGGTGCC